AGAACACTCTCAAAAAGTTCTTATTTAAAAACACTCTTCTTCCTTTTACTCAATTTTTATTAATTTTATATTTAAACACACCCACTATCTCCTCTCTTTACTCAAACACAAACACTCTCTTTCTTTTTTTTACTCAAATTTTAATAATTTTATACTATTTTAATTACCTCCTTCCTAGTTTCCACCACATAAAACTCGTGTCTCTTTTGTTTTCTTTAGTCCATTACTAATTACTAATTACTAATATATATACAAACGCTCGTGCAGGTGAACGAAAGCAAACCGATTTTCAGACAATTTTCAGGTGTTTTTCAACTGTAAGTCTTAGATTTACTCCAGTGTTGAACTGAGCTATCTCTTATTGCTTTTCCTCTTAAATTCTCTCTCAAAGTTTCAGATTTTTTCGTTTTGCTTCTGTGTTAAGTCTTGACACTCACTCATTTTTTTGATTATCGATTGAAAAGCTTTGATTTTTAATATATGGTTTAAATCATATAGGAGCGTACTAGGGTTTTTATTCGTTGTTGTTATCATTTCTAACCATTTATCTATCGATATTGATTTCGATACGTTTAAGAAGAAAAAAAAATGAGTGATACAGAACTAATTATAACTCCGATATGATATTGCAGAGACTCTAAGCCATGAATCGAAACGTCGATAACCCTCAGTTGAGCATTGATGGTAGCTCGGGCTCTCAATCCCCGAATCCTGTTGGCAACGAAGACGGCGGCGATAATGGCCGGAGAACCGTCGTAACGCCGCCTTGCCGGAGCTTACGCCCACCCATTTCGCCGTATTCCAAAATCTCAACGATCCAACAACAACTCGCGTCGCAGAATTTCAGCCTCGGACCATGCGTCCCGATGAGGCCGGTGTCTCAGCTATCGTCCCTCTTCTCCTCCATGCCGCCGCTGAGGCCGTTGAGCCCTTCGACGCAGTTGCTCCGAGATAGTACTCTCTCATCACGGTCGTTGCTTCCGATTCGGAGGTCTTCTCTTAACTCAGTGAGAGTCTCCGACAAAAGTACTACTCCTCTGCCACCACCGAGAACGGCTCGTAAACAGTGCACCACCAATGATGATGTTCCTTTTAGGTCTGGTGCGTTTTTCGCTCCGAGTCCTACGGGATGGAGCTATCCGAAGCCGACCGAGAGCCCCGTGGTTGGCGAAAAGATCCAAGAGGAAAAAATGAACCTGTTCCTCTCAGCTGCGTGTGATATGAATATGGATATGGGAAAGAGTGAGGCTTTGAAAGGTAATGAGAATGTTGGATATGAAATGGAGAAAACCAGCAGCGAGGGAAGAAGTGTGAATGAGATTGGATCGGGTGCGAAGAGAAGAGCAGGCAAAGATATTGCTACTTCAAAGAGTCACTACAAGAGTCTTTCACTGGATACTTTTTCCATTGGGAAGTTTGGTACCCGTGTGGAATCATCTAACCCACCTCTCTCTCCGGGTTTGTTCTCCCCTACCGATTCAGGTACCGGTGTGGAATCATCCACGCCACCTCTCTCTCCAGGTTTGTTCTCCCCTACCAACTCGGGTACACGTGTGGAATCATCCAAGCCACCTCTCTCTGCGGGTTTGTTCTCCCCTACCAACTCGGGTACCGGTGCAGAATCATCCAAGCAACCTCTCTCTCCGGGTTTGTTCTCCCCTACCCATTCAGGCATGGTTACTCCATCTGAAATGGAACAGATTGAGGGGAATGAAAAACCCGCGGGGTTGGCTAAATCTTCTCTCAAGACGAGTAACAAAAGGTAAATTAGGCTAGTTTACGCGACTAAATTACCATGTAATCTTTGCTTATGACCTCACACATATATGAATAAGCAAAGATCATGCTAGTACAAATCTTTTTTTTTTTTTGCTTCTTCTTTGTGTGACATTTATCTATGTGATTCTCTTATAGGAAGCAGGCAAACCGAGAGTCAGCTGCCCGTTCAAAGGAGAGGAAGGCGCAGTACGTGGCTGATTTGGAAGACAAATTACGGACTGTTGAGTTCGAGAATGGTAGAATAAGAAATAAGTACAATCAATCGCAGGTGAGAAATATGGCATTAGCAACCATCTACTTATCAATTCTAAACCGTTCACGTAAGGAGTTTGTTAAGTTTGTATTGTTGTTGCATGCAGAGAAATCAGATGGTGACAGATAACCAGCTCAGAGAAATGACGATTCGTTATGAAGCAATGGAGGAAAAGGCGCGTATTCTTGCAGGTACGTCATCTTAATTTTTATCGATACTCTAGCAAATTCGTTGTTCTCCGATCTATAATGAATGTCAGTATTTTAGGGCTTACAAGATTTGTACTAGCATGATCTTTGCTTATGAGTTATGACCTTACACATATAGTAATACCTAATTATCGAAACAACTTGTTTTTACTTAGTTACCGTTTCAAGATATCTTATTCGGCATGACTGAAAAATATCCTGGTTATTTCGCATTGAGCCAGATAGTAACTTCGACTGCCAGATCTTCCTTATATGCCATCATTTTCGTTAGTAAAGAAAAGGCGAAAACATAATCATTTTTCGATGAGGTTTTCACGGGTTTTTACTAGATCCTTAACTGTGGAAATATGTTTTTATCTCTTCGCGATACCAAAGATTGCTGCCTTTATAAAAGCTCCATGCTTTGTTATTGCAGCCTTGACTGATCAATTGACTGCACGGGTGAATGAGTTAACGAATGAGCTGAACCTATACCGCAGAGAAGCTCAGAGATCAAACATGCAGCAGTCACTGAGCACAAATATGTTTCAGCAGCTCAATATCAACCAGATGCATCAGCCGGAGAGAAACCCCGATTTCGATGGAAAGATCTAACGAAGTTGAGAGTTGGACGTGGTGGTGGTGGCTTTGGAGAATCCTGTAGGATCAAGGATTAAAAG